ATATGACAACATTCATCATTGGGAATTTGGACCTTTACATGATAAATCTTGGTTCTTACTGTATTTCCCATTCCCCTGCCCTCCCTTCAACCCCTCTACTTCTCCCTATTTACAAAGTCTTTGTTTCCATTTTTTCTTTTCTCATATTTCTTCTTTTTTTCTTAAATTCTTTTATTGGTACATTTTAGGTATACAATACATCTCCGTTTATCATTGGGTCCTTGTACCTGTACATGATGAATCTCGGTTCTTTATGCCTTAGTTGCTCCAGTATTACCAACATGTTGGTTAAAGTCTACATTGCCATTAATATTTATTAGTCTGAACACTCTTTCCTTATAATTAACTTACATTTCTGTTATTGAAAATAAACTTGTGTTGCATCTATATTCAAAAGGAAGAAAAATACTCTCTTTGGTAGTTTATACATTTGAAAATTATGATGAACTTTTCCTTTTCCTATGAAATAATATCTTGTCACTATAGAATATATTTCAAATTTATGGTGTGCTTCTTTTCTTTGGGAATTTAAAATACTTTAAATAATTTGGGCTTTGCCTGATTCCCCTAGAACTGTAGAGTATGACTGATAACTGCCTTTAGAATTCCTAATAGCTAAATTACAATTATTATGCAAAGAGCTACAATAGACAGTTATATGGATTGTTAAATGACTTTGCCTTTTTTGCAAACTATAATCATTTTCCTTTATTAGCTGAAGGATTTTATAATTTAAGGAAGATGAGAAACCTATAAGTCACGGTTTCAAATAAGGAACATGGATATTGCAAACATTAAATTCTCCCATAAAAATGTTAAGGCATCATTAAACTAGGTTCAGATTAATACAATTCAGTCAACTCTAGATAGATATCTCCCATAATAAGCTGAAACAATACCTAGTGATCTAAGATGTAAAATATTTTACTACAGCCAATTTATAAACCTATAAAACATACAGGTATCATTCAACCTCTTTATTAATAGTGCATGCCTTGTATTAAATCAAAACCATCTTCAAGATCCCTCCCCTTTGGCGTCCCTTCCTCAGCTGTTGCCCCTCATTATGTGTCCTCTCACTGAAGCTCATCCATACTGAATGACAGCATCTTTTTTTCCTAGAAGCAGCACAGGCAATTCCCAGCCTAGTGATACAGCTTAACTTTATCTGAGATTTATGGACACATTTTCCACCCTGAACCTGCAACATTCTATGAGCTAATGTTGATGAATTTGTTTTTCTTGTAGGCAGATTTTTTTTTTTTTGCTCACTTTTGGAAAAGTGCAACTTATTATTTTTAAAGTATTACAGGTTTCTGTGGAAGTGAATTATATTCACAAGAAAATTGATCTTGGCAAAAATTCAAGTTCTAGACAACATTGATTCCAGTTACAGGATTTCTTTTTTCACCCTGTTTTTCTCTGGTAAGAAAGCCAAATATCTCATATTGATGGAGTTGCTGAGAATTTTAATGGATAATCTTGTCTGGTAATTCTGTTGTAATACAATAATTTCAACATAATGGTGATTTTTATCGTGATTATAAATCTGTAATTGGGTCAGAACTATGTGGGGGTATCTGCTCCACCTGGAAAGGTAATCCAGTGCTTGGAATTTAGAATCACCTGAATTGTTGTTCATCTACCTGATGGTTGTGTGGTGGGGCCACCAATCCTCATGGTATCTCCAACCTGGCTATAAGGCAGCCATGTTGCCATGTTGACTCCCAGCTTCCAAAACAGAGTCCCAAAGAGGGGAGAACATCACAGGAGCTCCATCTCCTCTACTAACCAGCCTTTGTAAGTCATGCATATTACTTCCACTTCATTCAATGTGTTAAAAGACAGTCAATAAGACAGATCCATAAGCAAGGCTGAGAGGTAACGACTGGGGGTGTAGCAACCTTTTGATTTGAGAAGTAACAAAATGTGGGTACACATGTATGAAACAGTCACATTAAAGAAAGAATTAATACAATAACTTTAAATGTCACTCTGAACCATGATCAACTATTTCTAAAGTTACTTCAAAAATATATTGAAAACCTAAATTCATATTCTTATTACTGTACTCTGAAGACTCATTGTAACAAGATGTGTTGTCCCAGGCCATCTTGCTAAAAATATGAATATAATGAATGAAAACGTGAAATTTATAGAAATAAAATTAATATACTTAACAGAGAAATTTCATACTCTCATCGTAGAAAGAATGCATAAATGAAGCTATTAAAGAATTTAAATAGCATTTGAAAATTAGAGTTCTCACACATAAATGAAGAAATGTTATTTTAAAGTAAATAATTCCAAAGGAATTTTAATTAACTGCAAAAATTATTCCAAAGAATGAAGACCAAATAAAAATAATGACTATCGGGCCGGGGATTTAGCTCAGTGGTTTTGCTACCTGCTGCGCAAGCGCAAGGACCCGAGTTCGATCCCCGGTACCAAAAACAAAAACAAAAACAAAACAAAACAAAATATAAATAAATAAAGACTATCCAGATGGACACAAACAAAAAAAGTACAATTGTTTGCACTAATTTATAGTGCACATACATCTAAGTATATATAGTGTCCATATAGCAGATATATAATGTATATATTTAGTCAATAATTAATAAACCCATATATAAATTGTTGAACAAAAAAGTCCATCACTGAGTTTCCTAGGATAACTTTACACGATAGTTTATTTCTCATTTACATAGCAATGACTATCTCTAGTCCTTAAGAAACTTTCCTCACTTTAGTATATTAGCACCAGCCAAAGGAAGACAGCATCTCATCATACTCTTGCAAGGAGGTAACAATGCAGTACATTAACAGAAATGTATTATCCAAACTGGCAGAAATTCAAGAATTGCATGTTGTTATCTTTCTTGTATGGTAGGAAAGGTGACCTGTAGTGCACTGATGACTTGTTTTGCCATTTGGTCAGAGTCTGTAAGAGGTAATACTAGAAGACAGGGACCAGCAGGTCTGAGGAAAAGGTATGTGGATGCATCCCTCTCAAGTAAGTCATACAATACTCACATCTTTGTGTATAATGTTAATGCCCACCAGAGAGCAAAACCCAAAGATAAATCACTTTACAACCAGATGGACAGGATGACCTGAGGTGTTAGTGAACTTTCCATCACTGTGACCAAATGCCTGAGATAAGCAATTTAGAGAAGGAAAGATTTTGTTTTGGTTTACAGTTTCAGAGGATTCAGTTCATAGTCAGATGCCTCTACTGTTTCTAGGCCAGTGACATGGGAGAAACATAGTAGAAGGGCATGGTGGAAGAAGCTGCTCATCTCAGAGCACTCAGCAAGCAGAGAGAAAGAGAAACATCCAGAGGAGAAAGTGTGAAGATCAGATACAGTTCCCAAGGACACATCCCCATGGTCCACTGCCTTTTGTTAGGCTCCACCTCCTGTCTCCTCCAGTTCCCTTTAATCCCATGGAATTATGATCTTATCACTGGGCAACTAATGAGGTTAGAGCCCTCATGATCCAATGACATCTCTAGGACCCACTTCTGCATATTGCTTTATTGGAGACCAAGGCTTTACAACAGGAGTCTTGCTGGAGGGATACTTCATATATAAACCACAACGCCTGGCTAACAGATGTCAACTTGCTTTTTTTTCCTTGGGCACCTCCGTGGTTATGTAATACAAAGCCATGATAACAGTGACTATGGTGGCAGAGAGCGCAATATGAAGCTTCCCTAAACTTGGCTGACTGAGCACATCACTCATAAATATCTCACCATCCAGTATCAGAAATGGACACCACTCCAGATAGGGCACCATTTTTTTGAGGTTAGGTGGGTGGAAATAAAAAGAGCATGGTAAATCCAGACATCCAGATTCTTCTCCTCCAAGATAGCCATCTGAATTGATATCAAAGAGCACAGTGCAATGGTAGCATCCACTGAGGTAGAACCACAGAGCTGATCTACTTTCCACTCTGACTCATGGAGCATAGTCACTGCCAAGCTTCTCAAAGGTGTCTGTGACCCTTACTTCCCAAAGAAATGAAATTCCCTGAATTCTTACAGGGATCATAGTCAACCGAGTTGATAGGCTCACAACATAGTTCTATCTTTCTAGTACTTTTATGTTAGCATAATAGCATCAAGCTCAAAGTTCTAAGAAATAGCAAAGCCCTACATACCACTTTCAGGTGTCATTCTTAAGATGATGAATTATGATTTATTGTGAGGAAGCTCATGTCAATGAAGTCTTCTATTATCTGCCATTTTCCCCCCACCACTGCAGCCTGCCATCCTCTACTCAGCCATTTTCCATCTTGGTCCCCAGGTTCCTGCTTATGCATATTAACAAAGTACATGTACATCCTTGCTTGTACTCCCAGTGTAACTTGTCTGAGACCTAGTATCAACCATTTGGCTAAAGTTAGCCCTACAGCTTCAACTTGAAAGACAGTTAAGTAGAAAAGCTGCGGGCGGGGAGGGGAAGGGGGTAATGTGGTCTAGGAAGTAGAATGTTGGCTTTGGAAGAAAATAGTAGTGAAAGTCATCTGATAAGGACCCAAACATTTATAAATAATAAAAAAATGAGGACAAAAAAGCCCTCCAGGTTATATTTTTACCAATCAGTTTTTACTTTTTCTTCCCTATACTGTGTGAGTTTCTAAATAAACCAAGATAGACTAATCTTTTGATCTGAAAATGTTCTTTTCTGTATAAGTTAATTCTCTGTGAGGATTGTCCTTGTTGAGACAGCATAAAAGAAAATACATCATCAGACCAACTACAAAACATTTATTCATGGGCATGGAATATAACCTCTTAGGGCCTAATTCATATGTAAAATATGGGAAGTGTCATGTAACTCACAAGATTATTGAAATGACATTTTAAAAATGAATCCATGTGTTTCTATTAAATAATGTTCACCAATTTATAAGTTGCACCATATAATACATTAACTGTATGAATAGAATTACTCATTTCATGCAAAAGAACTACAGAAAACAAAGGTGAATAAATTTTGGAATGGTAGTTTAATAAACTTATATAAGCAGAGTTTACTTGGTACACTGGATAGCAATCTACCAGGAGATTTCAGTGAGTGCTATTTTGTACAATAAGTGAAAGACTGTATGTGAAACAGAGTGAACCAGATAAAATCAACATAAAGGACAAAAATGTATTTGAAAATGCAGCTGTGGTTCATGCTCTATCATTTCATATCTCCAAGAGAATTTTTCAAATTGCATACCAAGGCTAAATGTAATTATCATGTGCATGTTTGAAACTCTGTGATAAAATAAATGCCTTGGATTACATGTCTACTAAACAGATTTCCTTCTCTTTCCAAATACATTATTAATCAGTTTGGCCATTGATTTAGATCCACTGGGTCTTCTCTTTTCTTTGAGTTTCAAGTTTGTCAGGATGTCCTTGATAAGTCTGATAAACATTATTTCTACCTCCAGACACTGATCTGCAGCGGACAGTTCACAGAACTGGCACCGCTTATCCTGGGCCAGCCTCTGCCCTTCTTCCCAGCCAACCTCACGCACGTGACAGAGGTCTTGCTTGTTGCCAACCAAAAGCACTGCTGCTTCCAGGGCTCTGAAATACAGAGACACAATTTTTGGCAAGATCCTTTCAACATTTCTGTTTTTAGAAAAAAAAAATCTGGAAGAATTATATCCAAAGGATTATAATCCAGAGAAGAAAAGCTTTTGAGTGTGCATGTGTACTTGTGGCCATGTGTGTGGATATTGACTTATGTTCCCATTTACTTAAAATTCATTTTAGAGAGAATGTAGTAAACAGCACAAAAGCAACAAAGATTTAATGCTTTGGATTTGAAATAACATACATAGATTCTTGGATTCTGACTGTTTACTAACCAGGTATGTCTCTTACCTTTCCAACTTTGTTTCTTTATTAAAAAAAAACTGAACAAGTCCTCATCACAGAGAATTCTCAGAGATTAAATAATGTGTATAAAAATATCTAGTACAGTCCTAGACAGTGAAAGATGTTTACTATTGTTCTTCACATTCATTGTCATTTGTAAGAGGAAGATTAACAAATGTCTCTTACAGTTGACTGTTTGAAGCAGTTAATTTAGATAGACTTTTCCTAAGCAAAAATATCCAGTACTCATTGCTGGATTTTTTTTTTTGCTAATATCCATCATAACCTTCTATAGAGAATATTTTAATCTTGTGACCTTGTACAACTTAAACTGTTTAAGAAAAAATTTCTTTGTTAAGACAGATGTCTTCTGCCGATCCCAATGTATTCTCCTTAGTTCTAATGAAACAGTTCAAAAATAGAGTTTCATTTCAAGAATATAATAAAACTACTAGCCTTTAAATAACATGGAACTGCCATGATATTGATGATAGGGAAGAAATTAATAATCACAGGGTCTTTAATTCTTACTGACACCATATTCCACTAAAAGTTGCTTTCATTTATATGACACTATGGGCAGTGTTAATATCTTTTTCAGTCAAGTTCATGAAATTATTATGAAGGATAAATGAGACAAGAGGAATGAAAATATGTCAAAGGATGAGCCACAAATACCAGATATAATTTTATAAAAATATCATAGTATACCCTAATAACCTTTCTACAACTGGAAATTCTCTAGAACTTGTTTAGTTAATAAATTAAGGAGATGGCTTTTAAAATGTTAAATACAAGTTATATATAGAGTATGTTTAAGTGTTCTTCAGTGGCTATCTTGATTTGAAAGAATATCAAAGAATTTTGTTTCCATACCAAAATTTGTCTTAGTGCTTATATATAAGAGATTTGAAGCTGAAAATAACAGAATTCTAAAAAAAACCCAAACAATAGTATTATAGGAAGTTGAGGCTATGAAAGAAACCTCAGGAAATTTACATACTTTTCTTCTACCATGCTGTCATCAGCTACATAATCAGAAAACAGCGCTCTAGACATTACATTGGTTTACCTAAGAAAAATAATGTACAAGAATGTACGTCAACTAATTTCAGAGAAATATCCTTTATCAATTATTAGCCTATGGTTTCCTGATAATGGGCATGTAAAATAGATATAAATATGCATGTGCCCATTTGCAATAATATTGTGCTTTTTTATTTTCCAGACTAGAGCATTATTTTGGAGTCTAAGAGGAAAACTGATTAAGAGCACAAAGAATTCCTTAAAAGCATTTTGAATAAAAACACTTGAAATCTCAGAAAAGTGAACAAAAAATTTAAAAATGGAAAAAACTAAAATATGGGAAACTCTGATGCTTAAACTTTCACCTACCAATACAACTGTTTAAGGCACAGTAATCCTGTATTTTCCTTCATAACCTGTGTATCAGGACAATTAACAAAGAATTGTTGAACATCTCTATATTTTTAGGAGGTGAAATGTAGAAAGACGCATTCTCACACTTAGAATATGTAAATAGTTTGATTATTCATCTATTCTGTGATATATTGAACAGCCCAATGACTAAGAATTGCACTGTACAGGATGCCAGATGTAATAAATCTGGATTCATTTATTATCCTTAACATTTTTGTGAGAATGAAAGGGAAAGGTTGAAAAACAAACTATCTTGTATACAGAGGACCATTACTCTGCAAGTGAGTGTCATGTGAACAATAGAAGCTGTTTTGTAAAATAGCCATTTACTCGGGCAAGAAACTGTTTATGTCAGTGGGGATATAAAGCATTCGCACTTATTCCTTTTACTACATGTGTAACTCCTGTGGCATGGGAAGATGCATTGTTCAGGGCTGTTAAATTTTGTAATTGGAAGGCTGTATTAAATTCTTCCTAATGATGCTTACAGCTATATGATGGTTTACAAAAGGGAGAGGGGAGGGGAATGAAATATTTTACCTTTTCCAATGACTGGTTTGTGGCTCCCGAATTCTGTGTATCAGGGCTTTTGCAAAAGCAAACGAAGACCTGTCACTGATGTCATACACAATAACAAACCCATCTGCCCAATGAAGCTCACTTGTGAGGGAAACTTTCACTTTCTGTGACTGAAAGTAAACAAAGTGCATTTAAAATATTGAGATCTGACACCAGTACTTTACACTTTAAATAGTTAATTAATGGAGACATGTCTACATATAAGAGACATCTATAAAGCTGGAGTGAATTTTTTTAAATGTTCAATTTCTTTCTTACCACCTTTTCTTTTAATTAAAAATGACTGAAATTTGAAATATAAAAAGGAACAACAAAGTTTTATGTACCACATTTCACATCCATTCTGTAAGAAAATATCTACTTTTCTGAAAATTTGAAATGATAAAGTACTTTTTAAATTAATAATGACACATTTGTTTTGAAAGATGACTTTTATATTTATGAAGTAAATGGAATATCTATTGATTTTGGTATTAGATTTAAATTCATAAAAGTAAAAATATTGCCAAGGTTTAGCCAAATTTTAAAAAAAATCTGTTCTAGAAAGTTGACTGATTGATTGATTGATTGATTGATTGAAACTGGATCTCTGTGTCTAGTCCAAGCTTGCTTCAAACTCACTATGTTGGCCTTAAATTTGCCATCCTCCTGCCTCAGCCTCCTGAGTGTTGGGACTACAGGCACAGGCCACTGCACCCTGCTCTGTTTTGAAATCTTAAACAATTAACAATTCCTTTTTGGCCTTATATAATCTTACTTTAACTATTGTAATATTTTGAATGAACACAGAGGTTTGTACTCAACATTTATCTTAATTATTCTCTTTTGACAACTGACTACTTACAAGTCAATGAACATATAATTTGAGTTAATAAACCTTTAAATTATTAATTTTTGACAGCTATATTATGACTTGATAGAAATGCAATATAAGTGCAGCTTAATGTTGCTATTTTAAAGATAGTTGTGATATGAATATTTTGGCATAAATGTACAGAAAAAACAGATAGCAGCATTTACAACACTAAAAGTAATCTCTAAAGATTTTAATAATTACAATTGAAAAGAAAATTCAGTTTTAGCACTAGCAATGTTTTACTTTCCCTCTTCATATCTTCTTCAAATCATAATTGAGTAAATAAAATATAATAGAAGGGTGTTTTTTGTAACTTACTTGAGAACATGGGTCATAGATTTCCAGATTTAGTTGTTTCCCTTCCAAGCATAAATGCTTATTATAGATAGATTCTGCAAAAAAGAAAAATTTATATTCACTGTTCATATGGAAAAACTCCAGCATAAAAAATGGACTCTTATCATAGCAAATTCAACTGGTTATGTTTTAGTGTGATAGTAAGAAACTTCTCTTCTTTGGTAGTGACCAAAACCATGTACGTGTTGTATTTCCTCAGATAAGTTTCTCAGAAATGAATTTCACCACTGCATCTTTCCCATGGATGAAGTATCAGTGTTCCTATCTCCGGACAATCGATTTACTCCCAACTGGTAATGACCTCCTCCAACCTACTGAAAAACATCACTCCAGTAATACTGCCTCTGTCTTTGCTGTATCATGAATTCATTCTTATTTAATGTTTCATTACCAACATTTTACAAATATGTCAAATTTTTTCTAACTTGCCTATTGTTACACTTAGTAGTTGGTTCTGTGTCTTGTTCTTATTTACCTTATTGGTAACATTAATATTGTTGATCATTCCTGCTTCCTTAAATATGTGGCTTTCCATATCACACATCCTTCTGTTTGTTTTTTCTTTTATCCCTTATTACTTCAACTTGTTAATTCATAGCCCATACCTTCACACACTCCAAACACAGATCTGGTCCATAGATCTCTTCTCTATCTATGTTCCTTCATTGACCTCACCAACTCCATGCCTTTACGGACCAATCATTTCTGATTAACCCAACTTATATCCATAAAGAAGACCACTTCCCTGGACTCCAGACAGACAACTACTAGCCATTTGAAAGATCCATTTAGATATGTGATGGACATATCAGTCTTATCACAGTTAAAACTGAACCCCACCTGCCAACAAAGGCTGCATCTTCCATAGACTCCTACTTACATAAATGGCATATCAATAAATCCAACTTTTCAGGTAAAAAGTTTAATTATCTTCCATGATTCTTTCTTTCTCTCATGCCCATGTTTATTCTACTAAAAATTCATTTTTATGCTGTCTTCAAAGTGTATTTTTTGTTTGTCCATATCTCACTACCTCCATTGCCAACACTGTAGTCCAAGTCACCATATTTCTTGCCTAAGAAACCTCCTAATTTATCTGCTTTGAGTCTTCCAATCCCTTCCTGTCCCTACTCTATTCTCCTCGGAGAACTAAAGTATACTTTGTAGCCAGATCAGATACTTCTTGTGTAAACAAATTGTTCCAATCAAACTTGGCTTATATTTAACAGTTTCTTCACTCCATCTACACTACAGTCCAAATCATTCTTTAAATTTTTTAGAAATTTGATGCCTCAAAACTTTGACAATTATTCAGGAGACTGCTTGGGATATGAAATCAAGACCTATGATGGCCAGTATTCTGTAACCAATAGGAAAAAGCTAGAGCAGATATTTGGAGACTTAATGTCTCCCCAGATGGTTAAGGTTGACTTTTAAAATCTCTTTGATTACACTGAATAAAATTTGTTGTAGTTTGATAAAATCTTAAATTGCATTTCCAGAGAGTTTCTTCTAAACTTCATAGCTTTGCTATTGACTCTGAACCATAAAATCTCCTTCTAGACTTTAAAAAGTATCCATCCTCAAGACTCAAAAAACTACTGCAAGTATCATCAACTCCCAAATTTTTAAAGAATGTTATTTCCCTTTCTAGCCTTCATTCATAAAATGGAGTTGTTTTTGCTAGTTTGTTTTCATAGAGTCGATGACCTTTGGATCATTTTATTATCTTTTCAAAATATCTCTAGGTCTTATATTTTTTGGTGAGATGTAACAACTAGAAATGTATAAACATTTCATTTGTTTATAACTAGATTGTATAAAAGATTAAGGTGAAGGTTGTCGTTATTGCTATTATTGTTGAGATATTGCATTTTTTTATTTATGTTTAGTTTCATTTGTAGTTAGGAACATTTTCCTATGCCTGAGTCCAAACTCGTGTGTTATGCTGACCCTGTCACTGAAGTTTTTGCCCCAGAAATGAAACACTAGGAATTTCTCTTTTCATATATTTCTACTTTCCATAATCAGTTTTCAAGTGCTTGCCCTAAAGTCTTCAAAAATGTCATACAGACTGAAATACTATGTTGGATATGTGCAGGAAACAACACACTAGAATAAAATTATTTTCTGAAATGGTCTTATAGTGCTACCTGATGGATAAATCTTAACGATTGATTTCTCCTTTTTCTTTCATATAAAAACACTTGCAGACATTAATTTCTTACTTGAAATAAGTAATATTAAATGCAAAGTTATTCTCTTTTCTCACAAATCTCATATTTGCTATAATTATGTCATTCTTGCTTTTTAAATAAAGAAAAAATAATTTATCACCAAGACAATGATTAGATAAAATATTAATACTATAATAGTGATTAATTACCAACCAAAACAATACTCAAAATTGTGGCAAAATACCTCACTTATTGTTCTGTGACTTCTCCCATATGACAAACTAATTCTTATCAAAATAACACAAAATTTATTTTTAAGTTAGTGAAATGATTCAAAGATTGGACTATAGTGCTCTACCACCAGTTTTAGAAGTTCTCTGAAATTTATATCAAGCTAGATAATTTTATTAAGTGTAAAAAATAGATTCTACTTAAATGCTTCTATGATTTTAATTGGACTTTCATTATGATGTTGAAATTTTAAAATAGAAAAAGTCGAGAGTAATAACTTACCAAAATTAGAAGCATATTCTCCAATGAATCGCTTGGTAAGAAACCTTACTGTAAGTGCTAGAAACAAGTAAAATTCAAGGTTTGTTGTATTTTGGGATGCATATAGTTTAATTATATACATAACACCTTCTCTTTCAGATTAAGAATCACCAAACATTCATGAAGACCTTAAAATTTTACCGAATCCTGGTTTTAATTATAGTAAACAATGTTTCCATGGTGATTTCAACCATAATGATTATGAAGATAGAAAAATATGATCTCAGAGTTCTACACATTTATATCATGGAATTAACTCATGAATGCAAACACATAAGGCAAGTATTATAATACCAACATTTCTCTTTACATTCGAAATACATAACTATTACATCCTTTGTTTCCTCTATCAAATTAAATCTGGCTCCAAAGTACTACAAACAAGAGTGACAAGGATCTCCAGAGTCTGGCAAGTGTAAAGGCTATTATTCATTAGGCTAACATAGCTTTACTGGAGACATCCTCATCACCATTGGGATATGAACAAAAGCAAAGTAAAGCAAAACCTAACCAAACTAAATTATGGTTTCCAAAATCAGAGCACATGTAGTTCACTGTCAGGACATCCATAAAACTATGTATCTACAAGGTTTTTTAACTTCAGCAATGTTGATCTCCATGCATTTGTCTTCTTCCTTAATCTAAAGAGCAGATTAATCCTTTCAAAGCCATTTATTGGCCACTGGTGGCTTTCAGGGTAGGTGTAATTAAGTGAGATGTAAATGGGATAATAAGGAGGACATTTACTATTATTTCTTCTAACTTTAAGAATTATCAAGGAGTGAAGAGGAAAGGGAAGTAAAAAGAATGAAGATATGTTATGTACATGTTCCACCACACCTGCCATGATGAATGTCATCATTAGGTACTGCAGACATGTAGTACATAATAAAAATGAAAATTTAAAAAGCATCAGTAGAAGAAGATACCAATTAATATTTTGGTCATCTTGCTATCCCTACATTTATAAATAAATTGAAAATTTCTATAAAATTGAAAGTTTCTACTGAAAAATAATGTGCATCTCATCCCAGATGAATTATTGAATACATGTAGTTATATATGGTTATTATTTAACATGTCAAGATGTTTCTCACTCATTTTACACTATATCACCCCAAGAAAACATCACACTCACCAGACTTCCCTGTACCTTTGCCACCCAATACAGCAAGCTTGACTTCATTCATTTCGCTTTTCTCGTCCTTCAAATAAGTCCAGGTTTTGTAACTATGCAGACTTAAACCAAAGTTGTTTTTTAACTTCCTTTTTTATTGCTGATCTTATTTTTTTAAGACAAACTCCTCCCCATATTCCTACCTTCTAATAATAACTTTAAAAATGTTTTCCTACAGAAGTTTACAACATGTTCCATTTTTTAAAAATGGGAGTTACTATTTAGACAGTAAGCTTTATTAAACCAATAAGTATGCATTTTTAAAAGGATATTTGCTCCCAATTCCCTGTTTTGTGGACCTGGAATTTACCTTCTCCCAAGGCCCAGAAAAATTGCTTTCTTTTCATTTAGAACATTTTTAGAGGATGAGAAAACATCTCTGTAAAGTCACATTGATGAGATTAGTATTAATACCTGAAGCTACATCTACCATTTCTCCTGTGAAACTCAAGGGGAAGTAAGCTAATTCAGTCATAGAAAGAAGAGAATAGAGAAAAGATGAACTCTAGGATTTCTGAATTAAGATTTGATAGCCATGTAGATGAATAACCAGACCATCTTTTCAAATCATATGAGATTCTCCAGACAAAAATGAGAGCTAGAGTTTGTAACAGCTTCTTCAATAACCAATTCCTCATTTTTAAAACATGTTATGCCAGTAGATAACTGTGAGATTTCTGACATAAAATACAGCGATCAATCCATGTTGTTTGGAAAGCAATAAACAGAAACCTTTCGCAGTTCCTCCTGTAATACTTTGAAATTAGAAAAAAACAAGGAAAGAAAATTTGGAGGAACTATTCTGGCATAATTGACTTCTGTTATGCAATGAAAAGATAAATTTAGTATGCTAAATGATGAATCTGCCATATCTCTTTTCAATACTACTCAAAGCATCTCATTTCTTTCTGTTATCTTTCCCCATTGGATTGTTAGAAGTGCTATAACAGACAGAATTCAAACTATCTAAATACTGAGACCCAGGTGAAGGGGTTTATTTAACAAATATTTATTTGCCATTATATTTTGAATTTATTTAACTTTTTTCCTCTATTACAAATTTTAAAAAGATAAAAATGTAAGCTCTTTATGCAACTACATTAAAATAAAAACAATGATTTGTTTACTATTAAATATTATAGCTGATTTATTACACATACAATTGAGTTTGTCTATTTGGAGAAACATTACTATCTTTTTTAAGAATTTCTGGATTGATGTTTTTAGGAAATAGAGCGCATCTGCTATCGGGTAGCCTGTTTCTAAAAAGTGGCTAGCCAAAAACATCCCTGGGTTCTGGGTTGCTCGCCTCTCTTTCTGGAGTTGGATTTCAGGTTCTCCTCTCGAACAAAATGTTGAACAAAACGAGCAAAAAGCACTGGCAAAGTTTATTGGAGAAAGTAAAAGTAAAGAGGGAGAAACTGTCTCTGCAGAGCGAACTTGGGCAGGGTAAAAGGAGAAAAAGCAATGAAAGGTCACCTTAGAGAAAGCAGGGCAGGCTACCTGAAGAAAGTCATAATAACAAGCTCTTCATGGCTCGCCTCTCTTTTTATGCTGTCCAAATCGCAAGGAAACCGGTAAGAACTTCTACATCCGGGCCCTGAGAGGCAATGCAGATTTCCCACACTGAGAACCTGCTGGAGTTCTAGCAAGAAGTGCGCATGCAGGGTTTTGGGACCTGCTCTCCACATGTGTCTGAGCTCTTGTAATTAACAGGTCATGCCTACTACCCCAGCCAGTTTTACCAAATCCTACTCTCCTATATCACATCTGCTAATAGGAAGGAAAGACTTAACCTCATTATATACTTGATATTGAAAATATAAAAACTGTAGAAATTGTTTTTACCCAGAGACAGATTTTTATTTTATCTTCTTCCTCCCTACTTCCATTTGGATTCAGAAAGTATCTCTAATAAGAAAGCAACCTACTACTGGAACAGAGTGAATTTATAAACCTGAACAGAGGAAACAAAATCATGCACACAGATTTTTAAGAACTAAAAAGGGCAATTTTTAGGGGGATGAGGTACTTGATAAAGAATACTACAAAATCAATATTCTGACAGGCACAGTATTATACTATGTAAAATCGCACATCATCCCGGAAACACCCATTCACAATCAAAACAAAATCAATTATTCCTTTTGTTATTTATTGAGTAATCCAAATTTATTTGGATTTCTACTATGGTGTTGGTATTCTTTCAGGTGTAGGAAACACATCAGTTAACAGACAGGAGAAATATTCATGAAGTTTATATTTTATTCATTGGAAGATGGTCATTAAATGGGAAAAAGTAGACAACTACTTACCAGGTGTTCATAATGCTACCATTTTATCTGTTTAGTTTTGTTTCTTCTGGGATCAATTCAATCAGTCTTTCTCAGGTAATCTCATTTCCTTGTACTTTCTATTATAAGTAGCAGGATATTAGAGCTTCCGATTTGGAAGAGTGCAGTCAATCAATCAAATCTTCAAGAACCAAAGGGTATCTTTATTTAAATACTTTCATGAATCTTGAAAAGATGAAACATTTACTGCCATGGTTTATATCTAAGAAGCCCCCTAAAGCCTCATCTGCTCCCAGATGGAGATTTTGGAGGTGGCAGTGGATTAGTCCAGTGATTGGTTTAGCATCGTTATGAGTATGATCAAGTGGATTTACCAGAGAGAAGACTCACACTCAGGTATAGGTGGTACCAACCAGGGGTAAATATCTGTAGAATCTTTCCTGTTATTCTTCCCTGGGCAAAGAGGGAAGGAGGAGAAATGTTTAGTTATTTTAGAGCATAAAATTCCCAGTCCTTCTCAACATGAAAGAGGGAGAAATAGCACCTACAAGTAGGAGGAGACAAAATGGTCACTATTTGCAGATGGTATCTTCTTGAGTTATATTATCTACATTATTAGCATAGATGAGATCATTCAGTAAAGTAACCAGATAAAAGATAAACATAAAAGCAATAATTATAACTAACACATTTTAATACCTCATATATAGTGGGCAATTTTAAGAATTTATTTCAGGTATATCATTGGTACCATTATTAACTTGTAAATTAGTAGAAATATTCTCCTTTTCAAAAAGAAAGAAGTTGGAGGAAGGCAGGAAGGGTAGGAGTAGGAAAGAAAGGAAGGGAGGGAGGAGAAGGAAGAAAGGAAGGATAAAAGGGGAGAAAGGAAGGATTTCCTGGGAGAAAAGGAGAGAACAAAGAAATTAGAAGCTAGGAGAAAATGAGAGGAAAATGCAACAACAAAAAAAATAAACTGAAAAGGAATGTGTGATATTTATATAAACAATTCTGTAACACCTACTCAATCAATCTAAAAGTCTAATGTAATGTCACCTCGAGCCCAACTAAGACGGTTTTCATCAAATGTGGACAGCCTCTTTCAGAAGTGGAAATATTCAAGAATAAGTAAAAAAATGACAAGATAAAGCAGTGAGAAATTAAAATACCTCTTAGTCAAATCAGATTAAAATAATTAAATATCAATTTATTATAATTAGATCTATGTGCTCATTAATAGAATAAATTTTTATTATAGAAAGTATGTAGAAATATTTTATTGCAAATATATACTTTGAAACATGTGGTACTTTTAAATTATGTCAATACCAGTAGAACAAATCTATAGAAAAGTAAGTTATGTCTAGACCTCAAACCAAGCAGGAAAATAAATTAGAAATATTAAAACTCTTAACATGAAAATTAAACTAGAAAAGGTGCATGTTGATCATATATGAGTACCTTCCAAATACTCTTGTGGAGCAGGAAATCTTGTTAAGTAACAAACAAATCGAAAAGCATATGTTAAAAATAGACAGAAAAGAACAATACAAAGTGTCTATTAATAGAACTCTAAGTCTTGGTCATGTTGGTCTCATGAGAGTATCAAGTATATGTGTTTGTAAACTTATAACAAATGAATATTTATACAAAAGTGGATCATTTTGAATCTGAATTCAGGTATTTGTTTCATCTCTAATTACTGTATAATCCACATTACTAAAGGGATTGAAGACCTAAAAAAAATATTTTTGAAACATACTTGTACTTACTTCTGGATACTTTTATATGTTAATGTGAAAATTTATCAGTGAAGAGTAATACTTTTTTTAAAGAAAAAAGTGGTTTCCTAATTTCATAAAACAAGTTTTCAAGTGTCTAACTGATTTAAACTGTGAGTGTTCAGGCATTTACACATTATGTTGGAATTAGGTAAGGGATCTAGGGAGAAAATTTTAAAAGGAAAAAACATTTGATTGCTAAGTTCTGTTTCTCTTCTGCTCTTGAGGCATTTATGCAATATGTTAGGGCATAAATAGCATCTTGAACATTCTTAGCAAAGATAAGAAGCAATTACTTCAAAATCACAAGTCCTTCAGAATCTCTTCCAAAGAAATTATTCAAGCCCAGACATCTACCTAACCTAATAATGAAAATATTGTAATAATGGCTACTAAAATACAAAGACTTTTACAGCTCACAATCCACTACTTTTTTTTGCCTAAAATATATATAACATAAACCTAATAATTGCTTATTTCATCTGTTTCTTTCTTTTTTTTTTTTTGGTATGGGGATCAAACTCAGGGCCTTGTGCTTGTGAGGCAGGCAGCAGCACCACTGAGCTAAATCCCCGGCACTAGCTCATCTGTTTCCATTCTGACATTTCTGTTATTACAACCAACATCAGTTTCCCCGTATGCACTTTTTGTTATGATTGTGATTATTTTTATCTGAATAAGTATATAAAACCATTTACTACCTAATAAAAGTTCTTCCCACAGTATTTGGTAGGGGAAGACTATTTTTAGAGTCTACAGCTATTCATGGCAAATTTTTTTGTCTTACTTCTTCTTGGAAGTCTGCTTAAAATCCAATCATTTCTGAAGACTAAAAATCAACCTACTGTGCAAACTGTAGCTCACCTTTTCTTTTCATTTGTCTTCTTTGTTTGCTTCTCCTCTGCCTTTGCTTCCCTCTCTTTTCCTCCTTTTTCATTCCCTCCCTCTCTCCTTTCCTTCATTTCCCTTCCCTTTTTTCTTC